GCAAACAAGTTTATGGAAGCAAAGTTCTTGTGCTAGATGGTGAAAAATTCTCTATGAGATTATTGGTATGTGAGAATCTGTTATTATTATTTTTTATCCGTTTAATTCTCTTAATTTTTTTTTTGAGTAGTTATACTATTAAAGTCTTTGGTGAAAGGGGAGAACAATCTTAATACTGTGAAATTGGCTTGGCTGGGTTGCATCCAAATTAGAAAAGAAAAAATAGGGAAAACTAATACCGAAATATGTTACTAAGGCACCGCTAGTTCAGCTAGGGTCCATGGGAAAGACTTGTTACAAACATCGGTGAGTTTGGAAAGCAGGTTAGTAGTAGTAATCTAGTAGAATACCTCCCAGTGGCCACTGTAAGTGTAGGCACTTTTGCATTTGAATTCAACGTCTCAAAGCCTTCTTGGTACATCTCTGGTGACAAGTTGAATCATATCAATATCAAACACCATCCAATAAGTTATTCAAGAACCTCGGTATTGAAGAGTATTTTAGAAGGAAATCCAAATTCAGAAGATGTTTTTCAGTCAATTTGATTTGAAATAAATCCACAACTATGCGTTGTTCTGCTCGGTGCATAAACCTAAATTGTTCAAAATCAATTCAGTTGGATCACTCCATAGTGGAAAGCTTTGCTCAAGGAGGGAGGACAGTCATCACATCACGAGTTTATCCGACAAAGGCAATAGACGGAGCAGCTCGAGTATTCATGTTTAACAATGCCACAGGATTGAATGTCAAGGCATCAGCAAAGATTTGGCAAATGGATTCAGCAGATATTCACCCTTTCCCCCTGTAACAGTTGCACCTAACCAGCCTATTGTATTAAGTTCCATCATTTTTCGTTTGGTTGCCCAGAAAATGGAAGAAAGAGAAGAGAAAATATAGAATCTTCCAGCAACCAAACGTGATATTGTTTATTTCAATTTTTCCGTTGGATCGCATCTCTAGATTTAGGCATGTTCATCAGCAATGTCTGTTATATTGCATCTGGAAAATGAGTAGGTATTTGAAATTTCCAGCTGCCCTTGATGCAATGAACTGTTGGTCTTGCGGATGTTTCATCAGATTGTCCCACATCACTTCACCAAAACCAGAAACCAAGTTACCCAGTTTGGTACAGTACCAAAATTTATAATAAAACCATTTACATTAAACCGTGGGTTATCCTTATTTTACAAATTAATAGATCCTGTTATAATTTTTGTATTTTAATCAAACGTGCCTAACAACCAATTTGAGGTGGCATTTAGCCTTTGCTTCATTAAAAATTTGGTATTTTAAGAGGACTGACTTTGTCTTGTATCTCAAACCTCTGGCACCATAAAAGCAGTCAATTGCTGCTTAAATCATGGCTCATGGCTCTGGTTTATATATATTTATGTACTTTCCATTTTTTTTTTGGGTGTCTGTAAATAACATTTTCCATTTTGTTGTGAATTCAGATACCATATCCTAAGTTTTAAAGTTTTTTTTTGCCGGATAAAAACTGTGTTTCTCAAATTTGTTTATCAAATATTGTATCATTAATAATGTGTTAAAATTATGTGCATTAAATGTTTGGTCGAGTTAGTGGATCCCATTGATCCAATGACCTACATTGATTTGAGATGGTAAATGATTTGGCAAGTGTAACATTGCCCTTTTTTTTAAAAAAAAAAAGGGCAATGTTACACTTGCCAAATCATTTACCATCTCAAATCAATGTAGGTCATTGGATCAATGGGATCCACTAACTCGACCAAACATTTAATGCACATAATTTTAACACATTATTAATGATACAATATTTGATAAACAAATTTGAGAAACACAGTTTTTATCCGGCAAAAAAAAAACTTTAAAACTTAGGATATGGTATCTGAATTCACAACAAAATGGAAAATGTTATTTACAGACACCCAAAAAAAAAAATGGAAAGTACATAAATATATATAAACCAGAGCCATGAGCCATGATTTAAGCAGCAATTGACTGCTTTTATGGTGCCAGAGGTTTGAGATACAAGACAAAGTCAGTCCTCTTAAAATACCAAATTTTTAATGAAGCAAAGGCTAAATGCCACCTCAAATTGGTTGTTAGGCACGTTTGATTAAAAATACAAAAATTATAACAGGATCTATTAATTTGTAAAATAAGGATAACCCACGGTTTAATGTAAATGGTTTTATTATAAATTTTGGTACTGTACCAAACTGGGTAACTTGGTTTCTGGTTTTGGTGAAGTGATGTGGGACAATCTGATGAAACATCCGCAAGACCAACAGTTCATTGCATCAAGGGCAGCTGGAAATTTCAAATACCTACTCATTTTCCAGATGCAATATAACAGACATTGCTGATGAACATGCCTAAATCTAGAGATGCGATCCAACGGAAAAATTGAAATAAACAATATCACGTTTGGTTGCTGGAAGATTCTATATTTTCTCTTCTCTTTCTTCCATTTTCTGGGCAACCAAACGAAAAATGATGGAACTTAATACAATAGGCTGGTTAGGTGCAACTGTTACAGGGGGAAAGGGTGAATATCTGCTGAATCCATTTGCCAAATCTTTGCTGATGCCTTGACATTCAATCCTGTGGCATTGTTAAACATGAATACTCGAGCTGCTCCGTCTATTGCCTTTGTCGGATAAACTCGTGATGTGATGACTGTCCTCCCTCCTTGAGCAAAGCTTTCCACTATGGAGTGATCCAACTGAATTGATTTTGAACAATTTAGGTTTATGCACCGAGCAGAACAACGCATAGTTGTGGATTTATTTCAAATCAAATTGACTGAAAAAACATCTTCTGAATTTGGATTTCCTTCTAAAATACTCTTCAATACCGAGGTTCTTGAATAACTTATTGGATGGTGTTTGATATTGATATGATTCAACTTGTCACCAGAGATGTACCAAGAAGGCTTTGAGACGTTGAATTCAAATGCAAAAGTGCCTACACTTACAGTGGCCACTGGGAGGTATTCTACTAGATTACTACTACTAACCTGCTTTCCAAACTCACCGATGTTTGTAACAAGTCTTTCCCATGGACCCTAGCTGAACTAGCGGTGCCTTAGTAACATATTTCGGTATTAGTTTTCCCTATTTTTTCTTTTCTAATTTGGATGCAACCCAGCCAAGCCAATTTCACAGTATTAAGATTGTTCTCCCCTTTCACCAAAGACTTTAATAGTATAACTACTCAAAAAAAAAAATTAAGAGAATTAAACGGATAAAAAATAATAATAACAGATTCTCACATACCAATAATCTCATAGAGAATTTTTCACCATCTAGCACAAGAACTTTGCTTCCATAAACTTGTTTGCCAACATCAGCAG